ATACAAATGACTCTTGTTGGTGAGCATGGTTTTAATTTATGATTATAAATTAATTTGCAATTGTAACATTTTAAATTAATTAAAAAATACTTGACAAGAAATTCTTAAGTAGTTTGGCAAAATTATTATTTATTAGAAAAAAATATTTTAACAAAACTGTTTCACTGGTAATATTGGGAAAACTTTTGTCCACCAAATCGAAGTCATGTGGGTTGACCAACAATGTTATGTGGTTCAATAAACAACAATAAAATGATACCATAGACAGGACTCTTACAGACCCTCATTATTGTTCGTCAAGTTCAATAAGCCTCTAAAAACATCAAATAATTTGACCTTTTTATGACAAGGCTATGTTAGTTTAGATTATAAAATGTCATGTGGTACAAGCCCCAGAAGTTTATTCAAAATATATTTAAAAATATGATTTTGAAAAGGATTTAGATGTATACTCTTGCATGTATTAAAGGTGTAAGAGCTTGATGCATTCAATTCAAACATTCCTTCAAAATGGTATAAAAGCTAACATGAAATCAACACGTTCTGGTTGTCGAGCACCAAGGAACCAGCACATCATTTAAAATGAACGTAGGACCTATAAGCAAAGCTAAAATGGCAATGAAAAACATAATTTGTTGCAGATGCCACTTGGTATGATATTTTGTTCCTAACGCAATGACATTCATACATTTTTAAGTGTGGCTTAAATGTCCTAATACTTTTTTGGTGATGTCAGAAATCACTGTTTCATGTCTTAATCGGGCTCTTCAGCGTTCCTGCACAGGGTGGCTGTGATATACAGCAGCCTTTTCAAATTTATTTGCTTTTTGTAAAAAAGTGGGCATTAAACCATAGTGCAAGTACAACGACATGCTCATCTTACACTGCATTTCTAATTAACTCAGCCAAGCAGAGGCCAACACATTTTTACAGATGCTGTGGAGTGTGCCAATGACTGAATTCAATCAACGGCACTATAAGCGAATCTTAATGATCGCATTAGCTGGTAAGATCAGCTCAGTGTGATGCTGTCATCTCCATAACTCATCTCATTGATCAACCTGAATGTTCGCTTCATCCCAGTCCACGTTATCATATTTCTGCAGTGTAGGCATCAGGTTTTTAACATTACCCCACCCTGATCTCACCCAAATCCTCCTTGAAAACTCCCAATGACACGCTACACAAATGATCCTGAGCTGTAACTGAATGGGAGTTTTTTTTTCTGTATGTACCGACTTCATGTGCTTGTTTGTGTTTGCTGATGTAATTGAAGCATCAAGACGATGTGGGTCTGTGGATCTTGTCCAAATAGTCTGTTCCAAGATTTGGCTCTCAATGTAATTTGAAGAGGTTAGAATCGGAAGGAGTGCAGCCATTAGAAATTAAATCTCGCTGGTAAGAGGCTTATCATCAGCATTAGAGAAAAATCTGTCCATTTTTGCCTCACCATTATTGATTAAGATGGTATCAAGTGTATTACATAACACATAAATGATTGCCTGATGGGCTATTATTCATTTTAGTTAAGAAGTTGCCCATTAGAAGATGCTTTTTAAGTGAACAACTGAATCAAACTATATAGTTCCTACGTCAAAAGCACAATTCTAGTAGTGTGTCCTCAAACCATGTGGCTTGTTGAGGAGAGTGGCTTGTTTTCTTAATTATCAGACCCACGATTTTCACCTGGTGGATCATAAAACTGGCCAAATAAGTAAATAAATAACTGGGAACACCTTAGGTATAGCTACACTACTCTTGCACAGTCAAGCACCACTCACATTTTCTTCAAAAATTAATAAATGTATTTTTACTTTGATTCTGTACTTAAGTAAACTTTTCAAGTATCTGTCATTTATTTTGGGATACTTTTACTTCACTACATTCTGAAGTATGATATTGTACTTTTTACTCGACTACATTTAATAAAAACATAATTGTTATTTCAAACTGAAGAAATCAACACCCGCTCTGAGACGTGATAGTGATCGCAGACAAGCTGATTATATTCAATGAACGCAAAGCAGGAACCAATTCAAATTCGCAAATCGAATGCTACAAAGGCAAATTGGACTTATCCAGTTTTTGAACTAAATCTGCTGAAAAAGTGTATGTTGAAACATGGAAATGTCTACATTTGCATGTCACCACATGTACTTGTAGTCTACTTTAGATTAAAAACTACAAATAACGTTAAAAATCATTGATCAATACATTTTACTTTCAATACTAAAAGTACATAAAAAATCAATACTTTTTCACACCAGTATACATGTTTTTCTGTTTTGGTAAAGGAAAAACTCCTTTAATTAACCAGTGCACCTGAGTAATGTGGCTTTCCAATCGAGTGAACTTTTGTTCTTGTTTTCAGCCGTGTTATCGCACGCCTCCACCAGCCCTCCATCAATCTTTAATCTCTCAGGACAGTGCAGCAGCAACACAATCTTTAGACAGATTTGCTGTGAAAAAACAAGATAAGCCTTCAAAGAGGAGAAGGCAGAACTTCCTGCCCTGAACTGAAACAAAAAGGCACGACGGACAGAGAAATGCCGATAAAGCAAAGTTTGTGTTTCATGACATTTTTCGGCCCCACAAGCCAGCCTGTGTAAAACAGACTGCTGTTTCCAAGATAAGAGCCTCAGCGCTTCAAAACAACATACTCGCGGTCAAACCACAGGAGCTGTGTCACCACACACACACACA